GGGGCTCCTCCGGAGGGGCACTGCTGGCCTTGGCATGCCTGTTCTGGAAGGAGGGTGTAGAGCGGGAGAAGGTAGACAAGCAGGCCTTTGGGATGAATATCTGGGGTTGTCAGTTTGGATCCAGGGCCAAAGGGGCACACATGGGAGTAGCAGTTCCTCCTATGATTGCAGAGAAGCGGTGGAGGGACGAATCTGTGCAGGAGCGGGAGTCCCGGGGTGGGACCTCTCCTACACAGCTCCTAGGAAGGAAACAGAAGGTTGCTTCCCTGCTGGACTTGGGGTTTTTCAGGAAAGGGGCCTTGCCACTGAGAGGTCTTAGAATGAAATGAGGATCAGCCTGAGGCCTGGGGAGGGTCGAGAGGGAGTGGAGAGCTGATTTCTCAGAACTTCTGCCTGCCAGCAAGACAGAATGGGGCAAAGAGCAGACAGGACTTCCTGAGGTCAAATTCTGAGCTCTATCCCTCCAGCTAGACTACCCAGGTCCAGGGGAGAGACCTGGAAAACCTTACATACAGTATAGACCCCTAAAAACCAGCTCTGTGTCCTGCCCAACGCCTCCCGGTCTCTGTTTTCTGGTCACTGTTCCCCTTTGGCTCTGGTTGGAAGAAGCAGAGGCAGTTTTAGGGAAAGAAAGTAAATAAGTTTAAGTTTTTAAAAATCCAGGCCAAAACTATGCAAACTCGAATATAAAATTGACCACTCTGTTGTCAGTTTTCACGGTCAGAATGGACGTTAAACAAAGGGACAGCTTCCATGTGGGATAGGATCTCAGGTCTCATGGGGCTGCGTGCTTGTTTGGGGGAAGAGAGAGTAGGACAGTACAGGAGGCATGGGGGGGTCCTCTGGGCCTCAGTTTTCTCATTAGTACAAAAAGTAATATGTATAACTAATACCTAAAAAGAGTATTATCTCATGGGGCTATATGGAGATGAAACCAAAACAGCGCAGCCAAAGAGAACTGTGGGCTCTACAGACCATGAGCATAGAAGGGATTTGAAAGGTGCAATGCCTCCTTTCCTTTGGGCATAGAAATTCTGGGACACTCCTGGGATCTCTGTGCCTTGATGAGGAACAGGCATGAAGGCCGATTTGCCCCTGTGGATGGGTGTTTTCTGAGCCCAGAGAGAGGGTCCAGAGGCTGTGCCCTGCCCTTCGTGTGCATATTCTGAGTGTCTGCAGTCTGACCTCCATATTCTCCCCGCCCCTTCTGCCAAGCATTGCCAAGTGCATCCATCCAGAGCTCCATTTGAACCAGCATCCTCAGGACAGATCCCCTGTCTGTTCTGACTGATTTCAAGGTGCCTGAAGGCCCACAGGGGTATGAAATACAAGTTGTGAGCCAAGGCCTCAGAGCACTACAAGCAGTAGCTGGAGGCTGGGTATGGCCTGGGCCCCAGGGGAAAGGATTGTAGAAGGACTTGTGGTGGTGGGGGGGGGTGTCAGGGGAGAGTCCACAGGATTCCTTGAGATACCAGCTGCCGCCAGTCTGTAGGGAGATGGATGCTGACGGGGGTGGAAGGGGATAGATCATTCTCAGGCCAGAATGAGAAAAATATTCTGTCCCATAGTCCATTCCCGCTCCCTGAGCCTCACGGGTTGTGCTGTGACCCACCTTTGGGGCAGTCTGCCAGGGGTCAGTCACATTCCTTTGGTCAAAGGAGGGATTGGGTGATGTTCGAAAGGACTGGGGTTCAGTCTGGGGCCAGGAGCAGGGTCGATCTGTGACCAGGATTAAGGGTCGATCTGGAAATTAGGCGCGGGGGTTTGTTTTAGGTCGGGGTGATGGGTCAGACTGAGGTCCAGGGCCAGGGTCAGAAGTCCATGTGAGGTGGATGAAGGAATGTCTCCGGATGGAATCCGACTGGTGAAGATGGTTGCTGACCCTTCTCTGTCCTGGCCCTGCCTGGCCAGCCTGCCCTACAGACCCAGCGTTCCTACTTTTCCCAGCATCTCTGGCATGTCTTAGAAAATTATACCACCACGACTTTTCTTCTCTTTTGTCCTAAGTGCTTTTGGGGATTTGAGCAAAGAGATGGTTCCAATTAGGAAATCCAGCAACTATTGTTGTGGGGCCGGGCTGTCCCTGTGGACATTCTCCAGGACCCCACTTGGTGGCTGAGCAAAAAGGACTCAGAATGACTTCCCCATGCACCCTCCCAACTCCCACTCTGTGGTGGAACAGGAGGAGAGGAGGAAAGTGCACAAAAGTCACCTCCCGGAGTATGGGCAGGGAAGGGGAAAGCAATGCCTTCCGGGGCTGTGATCCCCACAGAGCAGATGCCCTTGTGGACTTTTGAGGCTGGTGGCTGGGAGGTGGGTGTTGTGTGAATTTGTTAATGATGATTCTCTGAGTGCACATGCATTCCTACATATGTGTGTGTGCTCACTATTTGTGGATCTGTCTGTAGCTCAGTAAGGCTGCGTGTCCATCATTTCACAGATGTGTGTGTGTGTGTGTGTGTGTGTGTGTGTGTGTGTATCTATCCTTTCAGAGATGGAGGTCTCCATAGGTGGGTTCCCCAAGGTCATCTTGGCCATTTCCCCACCTTGAGACCAGTGCTGTGTCTGGGGGTTGGGCTAGAGTCTTAGGGCTCTTCAAAATAGTGGGGCCTCAACAATTGCACCCCCGCCCCAGTCTCACCCAGCTTCAACCCCACGCTGAGAGGGAGGTGGCACTGGTCTCGCCACTTCCCGGTGCCCAGTCCAGTGGACTGTTCTGGGACCTCCCCAGAGGGTGTTGTTGTGAGGGTGTGCCCCAGCTTTGTATTTCTGGGGCCACAGTAGTGCTGACAGGAACTTTATGAATACCTGGGCCCCAAGCTGCCTGGAATGGAAATATGAGGGCACTGGGTGTGGGTGGAGTGTGGTGGAGAGGAGCCCTCTGGGAGCTGGCAGGCCGGCCCTTTTAGGGCTGCTCTCCCACTTCGAAGGGACATTGAGGGCGGGAGGTCCAGGAATTGCTTCCCCGTGAATCTGTAGTACTCCAACTGTCCACCAGGTGGGGTTCCAAGGCAGAGAGTGAGAGTCGCGATGACAGAGCTCTAGCAGCGAGAGACCAGCTTTCAAATCTCCGCCGTCACTTCAACCTCCCAAGCGCTCATACAGGGAGGGACAGCACATATGCTCGCACCTTAGACGCTCACACACATTCTCTTCTAGTGAACTCTAAAATAGAACACGTACTGGGTGCAGGGGAGGTGTTAAAAGGGGAGTCGAGTTTCGTTTACACACACACCACCCTAAACTGAAGGTGGGATATCCAATCTTCTGCTCTGGGAGTGCGGGAGAGTGAACAACAGACACCAGGGGGCTTGGGGAAAAGAGGACCTACGGGAGAGGGCGAGCCAGGCACTAGCTAGATGATGCCGGGCTTGGCACGCGGAGCTCCATGTATCACAGACACGCAGGAGGAGAGGCCAGATGACAGACGGATGCACAGACACACGTATAGCTCCAGAGAGAACACACAGACCCGCAGACACACCACCCAGCTCCACAGATGTCGGGGCGACCCGAGGACACGCGCGCGCACACACAGGTGCGGCCCCGGGCCACACGCACACCTCGCACAGGCACGCGCGCCGGGGCCTCTGCGGCCGTTCAGAGAAGGTGGCCGCGCTCTCCCAGCGTGTTTATTTACTCATTTGTATCAATGAACGTTTGTGCCCGACTCCTCCCGCCTCCGGGTGCCGGGGCTGCCGGCTGCCGCATTTGTCCCCGGCGCGGGACACTCACCGGGACCTGCACTGGGGTTCCTCCGACGCTGCGGGGGGCGAAGGGGACTACAAAGTTAGGGGGTCCGAGAGGAAGGGCTGTAGCGTGAGCCTCCCTGGATGCGGATGGGGGAGAGGGGAACATAGGAGTCTTGGAGGATGAGAGACATCTGCGCGGAAGGGTGGGGGGCAGCGGTGGCAGAAAGACCTTGGCATCCGAGGTTTGGGGATGCCCGGATCCGGGATAGGGGACCCCGGCTAGGAGTAATTGGGAGGGGGCAAATTGGGAGGATTGATGGGGTCCCAGGAGATAAGAGCCCGCGGGGTTCCGCGGGATTGGAGCTTGGGACCCCAAGCACAGGTCCAGGGATTTTCGGTGGCCCTCAATGGAGGGGCAGTCTGGCGGAGACCTCAGCCTCTGGGGCTACGGCCCACATGGGACTGCCGGGGGCGGGAGGAGGGGGCCAGGGACCAGGAGGGAGGAAAAGAGGGAGGGAAGTAGCCTAGCAGCCAAGCGGGCACTGTGCGAGCGCGCACGGTGTGTGTGTGTGTGTGTGTGTGTGTGTGTGTGTGTGTGTCTCCTCTCGTCCGTCTGTAGGTGCCGGGCTCAGCGAGACGCCGGCGAGAAGGAAGAGGAGGCGAGAGGTGAACTGAGTTTGATCCTGCGGCGGCTACAAGTGGGTCCCGGGCGGGCGACGGGCGGCGGGCGGCCGGGGCGGGGCGGGAGGCCGGCGGGCGCTCACACGCTCCGGCCGCCGGCCTCTCACCACGCCTCCGGCTTTGTGAGCGCGCGGGGGGGGGGGGGGGGGGGGGTGGGGGGGGGGGGGGGGGGGGTGGGGTGGGGTGGGGGTGGGGGTGGGGTGGGGGGGCGGGCTGGCGGAGCGCCCACGGCGCAGCCTCCCGCCTCTATATAAACACACGCATCGCCTCGCTTTGGACTCAAATTCACATTGAGAGAAGCTTTTAAAACCACCAGCCCTGAAATCCTGCCTCCTGCTTTTCCCCCTCTTTCATTCCTTTTGCCTTCCTTTCTTTTTTTCCCTCTTTCTTCCCCCAGCAGCAACTCCAGAACCGAGAGACCGCGTCCCGGGACGGATTGCCTTTTCTTAATTGATACAATAGCCCAGCTCGGGTTTTCACCTCCTCCCCCAACCCCACCCCGCCTCACCCCGCCCGCCCGCCGGCCGCCGCCGCCGCCGCCGCCCCAGCGCCCGCCCGGGGCTCTGTCGCCGGCCGCGTCCCGTCCCGGCTGCGGTCCGCCGGCTCCGCACCCGCGCAGCGCCCGCCGCGCCGCCTCGCCTGCCGCGCCCGCCTCGGGGGTGCAGCGGCGGCTCTGCGGCTCCCGCGCGCCGCCCCGGGCAGCCCAGCGACGCTGGGCTCGGGCCTCTCCACTCGCCTCGGCTGGGGAGCCTTCCCCCTCACCCCTAAAGTTTCTGGGTTCTTTGGAATTTTTGGATTCAGAAATCTTTTTTTCCCTTTTTTTTCCACCTAGGAATTTGAGGGGAGAACTTTTGACAAATCGATCGCACTTTCTCTCGGATAGCTCTTACGAGAGAGGCTCCCGCTGGACAAAGTTTTCCAAAGTTTTCCGAGTGTGATGGTTTCGGGGAGAGCTAATCCATCAGCTTGATTCACGGCTTCATCTCACCACCCCTCGAGCAGCCCCTAAACCCGCTATAAGGGAACAAACAAACAAACAAACAAACAAAGTTACACTCCGAGTCGCCTCGTGTCTCCTCTCTCTTCTTGTAGGCAATTTTTTTCCTCCTCTCTCCGCTCCCCTCGCAGCCTCCAGTCCCCTTCTCTCGGCCCCTTCCCTCGGCCCCTTCCTCCTTCTCTGTTTCGGCTGGAGGTGCCAGGACCCCCGGCCGCAGCCTCCCCTCCCCCGCCGCTCGCGTCCCTTCTCATCCGGCCCTCCCCTCCCCCGCTGCGGACGGCACAGCCAATCCCCCGAGCGGCCGCCAACATGCTCTTTGAGGGCTTGGAGCTGGTGTCGGCGCTGGCCACCCTCGCCGCGTGCCTGGTGTCGGTGACGCTGCTGCTGGCCGTGTCGCAGCAGCTGTGGCAGCTGCGCTGGGCTGCCACCCGCGACAAGAGCTGCAAGCTGCCCATCCCCAAAGGCTCCATGGGCTTCCCGCTCATCGGAGAGACCGGCCACTGGTTGCTACAGGTAAGGGCGCGCTCGCTCCGCTGCTCCCCGGGGTCCGCTAGCGGCGAGCGCGGGGCCGTTGGAGCCGCGGGCCGGCCAGGGGGCGCCGGGAGCCTGAACGCACAGGTCCCCGCCCCGCCCCTTCCCTCCTCTTTGCGGGTGCAGCGGGGGCTTCCTTTGCCAGCCCGCCGCGTGGTTCGGAGCCCATTGGCGCCGGGTGCGCAAATTCTGGGGGCTGGTAGGAGAGGTCCCTGGACTCCCAAGATTGACTCGGAGGGCTCCCAAGATTGACTTTCCCCAATCGCGGGCGACCCAGCAGGGATGCGTGGACCGTCCGGGGGTTTCCCCGCGCGATGCCCGCCGGAGGGGGAGTCGGGTGGTGAGCAGCTTTCGCCTCACCTTCTCGCTCCAGGCCCCTGTCACCGTCGGCTGCCGGGGCTTGGGAGGTATATTGGGACCCGAAAATTGAGTCAGGGAGAGGAAAGAGCCAATGGCAGCCAGAATTGCCCCCTTAAGACCCCGGCTGTGTGTTCCCGCCGCGTCGTCGGCAGCGCTAGGTACAACCGCCCTGGTCTACAGTCCAAGAAAGTGTGTGTATTTAGTGGTGGGGAAGGAAGGAGGTAACCCAAGGAAGATGAGAAGCCCGAGACCAGAGGGTTCTTGGCTTTTAAGGAAAAGGGTCTATTTACTTATTGGGTGGGGACACTTGAGCAGGGGAGAGAAACTTGGGATTGGTGTATGAGATCCAAAGAGTGCGTGTGCATGTGTGTGCATGTGTGTGTGTGTGTGTGTGTGTGTGTGTTGCTAGACGCCACACAACCGCATACTGCTGGTGATAATGGGGGTGGGTGCGTTGGGGACCAGACTCAGGTAAGTAATGGGGAGATTAACCTGGAATTAACCTCGTCAAGTGCTAGACAAACGCTTTTGCAACTTGATATACACCAGGTTTTTTGGGGGGTGGGGGGCGCCTCTGGTTAACCGCGGGAGGTGTGTTGTGTTCCGGTGAACACCCGTGTTTGTCCAGAGGATGCTGGTGGGAGTTAAGAGAAGGATGAATGTCCTGAAGACAACCCCGGCAAGGGTGAGGTGAGGCGGGAGGCGACGGCAGAGACCTGTGGGTTTAGAAGTGCGAAAGCATGGCTTGAAAGTAACAGACGCGTGCAATTCGCGAGCGCACACACGGACACCCTGCCCGGCCCCGCCCCGCGCGGAGTGACAGCGGAGCGGGGGGCGGGGAGGGGGGCGCGCGGTTCCTCTAGGTTGTGGTCTTCCCAAGTTCCAGGATCGGCCCATCTCTTTTGGGGATGCTCATGCAGTGGGGTGGGATTCGCTTTAACCAATAGGGCTACCCTCCGTAAAGAAGTCCCCAGAGCCTCTCCCGTGCCACCACCACACTTAAAGAGTTAACTGCGGAGGTGGTCTAGGCTTTTGGCCGATAATTTAGGAAATAAAATAACTCACGCGGGCATCAGCTCCCGTCTCCTTAGAGCCAATCTGCGGAATCCGTGGTCTATCCCCCCCCCCCCCCCCCCCCCCGCTTTCTTGACCTTGCTCTGCTACCCGGAACATCCCCCTGACCTTTTCTCCGAATCCCACAAGGGCCCCTGGGGCTCCGTGCCCAACCCGCACTGAAGTTGGGGAAAAGGAACCAGGCCTACGCCTCCCCTTCCATTAGCCCGCGGGGCCCTAGACTCCCCCGTGGGAGGGAAATGGGGGGATGCCTGTAGAAGAGCGCTGAAGGGGTTAATGGGAGCCCTCTGAATCCCAGCTTTATTTTTTTGGAGTCATTTATCAGATTTTACGGGGAGACCTCCAAGGGCTCTCCGTTTCCACCGTGCGCCATCTAAACAGAGCCTAGGGCTAAAAATACAACATTTTTGTATAAATTGGACTCGCGGCCCGAGCGGCCGCCCCTATGAAAGTCCTCTTTGTGAAGACCGTGGAAACGGCGGACAAATAACTCTTTATTAATGCCACAAAAAAAACGCACTTTAATTATAGTTAGGCAGATCAGAGACGGGAGGGGGGCGGCGGGAGAGAGGCGGCGGCGACCTCGGAAAATTCACAACCCAACTTTTGTGTCGAAAGAAAAGAAAAACAGAGGATAAGAAGGAGAGGAGCGACGGAGAGTCAGACGGAGCGAGGGAGACGGGTATAGCAGACAGAGGGAGGGAATCCCGCTCCTCAACCCCCCCTTGGTCGCACCTCTACCCTCGCCTAGATTTCTCTTAAAGGGGAAGACGCCGTCTAGAACTACGGTGGGGTGGGGGAGCTCTCTCGGACCCGCCAACCTGGGAGTGGGGTGGCGTCCCCCGCGGCCCAGCCCCCCTCTAGGAGGCGCGGCCGCTCTGGGCTCGCTCCCTGTCGCGCGCCGGGGCCGGAGGCGCATGTGGAAAAGTGATTAGGGCTCCGGGTTCTGCAGAGTCACTTTTCGGCGGTGCTGGGTGTGTTCACATTTAGCTGGAGAATACTTTTCCGTAGAAGAAAGGGAAGTGAGCAGAGGGATCAACCCGTGAAAAGGGGATGCCCAGGTGTCCCTTCGGGGGTACAGGACTCCGTAGGTCTGGAGTCCGCATCCGCAGGTCGTTGCCGGCCAAGCAAGAGTGCGGGACAGGTGGCGCCTCTCCCCTTGGCACCGGGCGCTGCCCCGGCGGGAGAAGGGTTAACGCGGGGTGGGGTGGAGAGCGCCTACGTCAAAGGTGAGCCGGACGCCTCTGCCCCCGCCCCTCGGAGGTCCCCTCGGTTTCCGGCACCCGCTTGTGGGCCGGCTCAGCCAGCTCCACCGCGCGCCGGGCCGGGGCCGGGGCCTAGCCGTCCCCGGCTCGCGCCGTCGCTGCCGCCGCCGGGGATCCGGTTACCTGTGACGGCCGCCCCGCCCTGCCCCGCCCCGCGGGAAGCGCCTTCCTCCGAGCTCCCGTTCCAAACTCCAGGGCGGCGACGAAACGCCTTCTCAGTTATTCCCAGGGCGGATTGCATTAGGAAAATCGCGGCTCGCGGCCCCGTGACCCTACCTTGCAGATCCCTTAGAGGGCCGCCTGGTCCCTTCGCGGCCCACCCCTGAGAACGGAGGAAACCCCAACCCCCTTCTGTAGTGAGTGCCTCCGGGCACGGACCGCTCGCCGCTATAAATAATCTTTGGCCTGCGGCCACCCCGCGGGGTCTCGCCAGCCCGTGGCCGGGAGCCTGGAAATATTTATTCCGAGAGTCTCCGGAGCGTGAGGCGGGGGAGCGAGGAGGAGGGGGGTGGAGGCTGTAGCTTCGGGTCCCGCCGTCCGGGATACCTTTTTCCTCCCGCAAGTCATTACCAAAAAACACCCTCCCGAGGGGTGTCCCTGGCCTCCCGCCTTCTTGCATTATTTATTATCCTCTAGGCCCTACTTCCCAGTTCTCGTGCATGCTATGAAAAATAAAACCTTCGTGCGTGAGTGTGTATGTGTGTGTGTGTGTGTGTGTGTGTGTGTGTGTGTGTGGTGGTGGTGGTGGGGTGACAGAGGACTGGTGGCCTGGGCTGAATCTTCTGCCCCCCCACCCCCCCCACGCCTCGGGCCCTCCAGGCTGGGCCTCTGGGACATCCCATCCGGAGATGTACGCCCTGAGAGAGGTTTCTTCCCTGGTTCCCGCAGGGTTCCGGCTTCCAGTCGTCGCGGAGGGAAAAGTATGGCAACGTGTTCAAAACGCACTTGCTGGGGCGGCCGCTGATCCGCGTGACAGGCGCAGAAAACGTGCGCAAGATCCTCATGGGCGAGCACCACCTGGTGAGCACCGAGTGGCCACGCAGCACGCGCATGCTGCTGGGCCCGAACACGGTGGCTAACTCCATCGGGGACATCCACCGCAATAAGCGCAAGGTAAGAGCTCTCTTTCGGCTAAGAGCCCCGCAGCCCTGCCCTGACTCTCTTCTTCCGTGCACCCGTCTCGGGTGTAAGGAGCGGGACAGTTCCACCCGAATCTACGCCCCGCATTTACACACCATGCTAGAGGATCCCACAGTCCCGTGCCTAGACGACTGCGGTCCGGGATCCAGAGCCCGCAGGCCTCCTCCTGGTCTGCCCCACTATCGGTCCTCTGTGCCATTCCCATTACCAGGCCAGACCCATCGGTGGCTGTTGCGGGGAGGTGGTTTGGACAGAGCTCAAACATGCAGGGAGTAGGGCATCCAACTCCTGTCCTCGCGCACTCCACAAAACCGAGAAAAGATAAAGGCAGGTGGTGGTGCCCGCTCTCCTTTTCGCCCTGTTTCCCTCGGGAATTCTGAGGACAGAAAACCGATCTTTGGAAAACCAAACCTAACCTTTCTGCCACTGGTTCCTTAAGGGCCACGCGGGCAGGCTCGGGGAGCGGAGCACCCCGTGCACGACGGTAGCAGGGCCTTGCCTTGGCGGGGCGGAGGAGGAGGTGGAGGTGGCGGGGAGATGAAGTTTGGGGCACTGCCGCCCAGCGCTGGACGGCGGAGGAAGGGCGAAGGGTGGGAGAGCAGCGGAGGCGCTGCGGGAGATCAGAGCGCACCTACCCCCTCCCGTACAGAGGAAGAGAAAGTGGGTGTTTATCCTGTGGATTTCCCGAGCGCCTGGAAGAGGCGCGGAGGAGGCGAGCCAGAGCGTACGGAGCGAGCAGAGCCTCCCCGCCCCCTCCCAGGGCCGAGCCGCCGCCGCCGCGGCCGCCGCGGCTCTGAGCGCGGGCGGCACGTGCTGTTTGAACTGCAGTAACCCCAAAGCTGGGCTGCCTGCGGGCGGGGCGGCGGGCCGCCAGCTTCAGGCGGCCAGTGAGGGGGCGCTGCACGACCTCCCCTCCCTCCCCGTTTTCCACTGGGTCAGAGGACTCATCCAGGTTTGAAACCTTAAGGAAAGAGAGAGGCAGCCTCAGATCTGCCCAGAACAGTGGCAGAGTGTGTAGGGGGGCGGGGGGGGGGGCGGGCAACGGTGAGCGACTCCCTCCTCCAGGAGTCTATGTGAAGAGGTCTTTGTGAACGTAGGTATTCATCTTGTAGTATCTGATGTCTTTGAACGGCCTGCGAAGAGTAGTTTTTCATAGCAGACAAAAGGAGGCAAAATCCGATGGAGGAGGCACACCCCACCCCCCCCACCCCGCTCCCATAAAGCACGAATTTCAGGGACTGGAAAGGGGCTTCTAGAGTAGTCTTCCCCCATGTGCCTCACTAGAGCAGGAAGCAGCTAGCAGGTCCAGAGGAGAGATGGAAAGTGCCTGGAAGGGGGCTATGGGCTCAGCACGGGGGGCTTATACAATGTGTTCGGCACTATTTTTTCTTAGTCTTTAGGGCTCCACCCAAAAACCCCTTTCCAAAGAGTGAGGAGACAGCCTGAGACTCAGAAACCCAGCTACGGGGACTATCTGCTTCCTCATTTTATCTTTATAGAGACTTTGACAAGAAAACAGTCATTGTCCCCTTCTCACAGAACGGGACACTGAGGCTTGGGAGTTTGAGAGACTTGAATCAGGTCAAGAAGCAAAGAAAGGGCAGGACAGGGCGTGCAACACAGGCATCCACGGGGAAGAGTTGTTTCTAGCCCATAAAGCCGAAGGGGAGCCTTACTTAGTCCTGCTGACCTAGGATTGCCAGAGCTGGTGGTGAGAGTAGGGAGGAGGCGCTGGGAGGAAAAGGAGGGCTGGATCAGGACCAGACTGTGAGACCCTGGGGGTGCAGAGGGCTTTGGGGCAGGGCTGCCTTGTGTTTCCACCCACCCTGTTCCTGACTTGGCTGTGGGTCTCCAGGTGGGGAGGGCCCACCTGGAAAGCCCCATGGTTTGGGCCCACATGGTCCATTTGGAAGGAGGGAAGGAGATGCCCCAGAGCACACTGCCAAAGGAATGCCAGGGAGAGCTGGGGGTAGGGGAGGGGCGGGGGCCAAAACTGAGAGCCACAGAAGAGTCCTCGATGATCTCCCTCTTTGGGACACCCTATCCTCTAGCTCTTGGGGGATAGGAAGCAGACAGAAAGCAGTTCATCCTGACAGAGGCTTGGGAATTGAAGGTTTTGAGTGAGGTAGACCCAGAAGTGGGACACTTGGTCCTTGCCTCAAGAAGCAGAGTCTAGCTGGAGGGATGAGAAGAGAACATTCAGGGGCTTGTTGATGTCCTGGAAAAAATGGCCAGGCTGCTAGACCCCAGTGCCCAGCGGACGCAGTCTGGCCAGGGTCGGGGGTGTGCCATGCACACTGCCTGATCCAGTTCGCACTGTAGTCAGGGACCTCGTGGGCGAGCAGGCTGCTGGGCTAGGCCCAGGCCTGGTTGGGATGTACTCACAGGAAGTAAGGCCCAGGTGTGCTGGGAGAACGAGGAGCGTGAGGAGTGTCACTGTTTCCACTGGGGCTGGTGGCCCGCCCCCTCTCTGGGAGGTCTGACCAGATGTGCTGGGAAGGGGCTCCTTAACAGCCATCGCTGCACTCCAGGTGTTTGCCCCGCCTGTCCTGGTGGTCTAGGGCCAAGATGGCTGGGGTTGCCAGGGAGATAATCCAGAAAGTCTTGCCTAGTCTAACAAAATCTTCTCGAGGAGCCAGGCCTGCGTCCCTATAGCCACCACCCCAGACTCTGTCCCCTCATTTTTGTAACCTTCCTTCCCCCAGGGGCCTGGGGTGTCTCTGATGAATGGGAGAGGGATGTCATCCTTCTTTGTGTGGGTGGAGGCTAGGGAATTGCCCTGGAAGGCGGGTGGTAGGGAAGGGTAGGAGGAGGTTGTCAGAGACACAGAGGAGGAGTGGGAGGGGAGATGGTTCTAGAATCCCCATTGCACAGCCCCACACCCCAGAATAAGGCATTTCCTCTTTTCCTTTGGAAATGGGGAGGCCAACAGCTTCAGGGGGCCTCAGACAGTAGCCCTCCCCAAACCTGGAGAACATCCCAGAGGATGAACTTAGTCTTGGATTCCTGGTGTCCTAGAGACTCCAGGCATGGCTCTCTTGCCCCTCCAATGGACTCCTGGCTACAGGGACTTCTGAACCCAAGACGAAGGTGGGGGAACAGCTCCCCAGGCTTTGGAGGTAGGATGAAGAAGCCTTGTCTGCACACATCCCAGCCCTCACGGGCCTGGCCCTGGGGCTCTGTCTGGGGTGGAGGTGGAAGGCAGGCTCAGGATCACTGCACTTCTCTCAGAAACCCTGTCCATCCTGCAGTGTGTGTTGGGGTGCAGAGTCTGAGAAGTGCATCAGCAGGAGGGCAGAGCCAGGAGGTCTGGGGTGGTCTTTAGGGAACCCAGCCCAGCCTGGCTCTTGATGGTCTTGGGACCCGTGCACAGCCTCTGGTTCAGCCCAGGGCAGCCGCTCCCACCTGCATTAGGAAGGTGGGTGGCCCAGCCAGGCAGCCCTGCCCCTGAGAGCTCTGCCCAGCCCCCCCTGGCATAGGCACAGAGCCTTTGTTCTGCCAGCCCAAGAAGTCCTTCACTCAAAAGTTACTGTAGCACCAGCCAGTGGGTGCAGGGACTGCTGAGGGGGAGGGTGGCGGGAGCGGATCTCTCTGAAGGTCAATGTGGGAGGGAGCCCACAGCCAGGCAGCCACCAGAGCGCCTGAGAGTGGGTGCCTCCCTCCATGCGCCTGGTGCCAGGCAGTGGGCGGGGGTAGTGGTGGGGGTTCTGGCCAGGCCTAGGGTCTGTCTTCTCCCTTTTCCCTCCTTTCTCTGTCCTCCCAGGGCAGGGAGGGGTCCAAGGCTGTGATGCTGATGCGTCTGCTCACTCTTCCAGCCTTGGGAGACAATTCTGGCCTTGACAGAGAGTGGGGGCAGGTTTGGCTGGGGTCTACTCTGGCCCTGAGCCCCCTGTGCCGACCAATGTATCCATTCAGTCTGCCCAGGCTGAAGGGCCGGAGCTGGGGGTGTCCCTCCAGGGGTGGGAAATGCCGAAGCAGGAACAGAGGAGCCACACAGCTGGCCTTCTCCTGAGAAGTTTGGCCATAAATAAGGGTCCCCTTGGGGCTCTCAGATAAATTCAGAGCCCCAGGACAGGTACATGGTGGCTCAGTGGGGCTTGGGGAGTGGTGGGAGATGGGGTTCAGGGCCATTGGTGGGTGTGGCCAGTCACGGCCAGGACTGTGACCCTGGGAGGGCCCTTCCCCATTGGGCCTCGACTTTCTGCACAGGCTGGGGGGTCTGGGCCGGAGTGGCTGAGTGGGATTGGCTCGGGAGGCAGCCAGGGTGACGTCGAGCCCCAGTGGAAATGCCAGGCCCCTGGGAAGATGGCGCTATCTCTCGTCCTCCCCCTTACTTGAGTATAAAATACACACCTCAGCATCCCGCATGTGCCCTGAAGACAGCTGCCGCGGCGCTGCCCGCCCTCTGTTGCTCTTCCCACTCCGAAGCTGCGTCTCTTCTCCGGCGGCTTGGCTCAGCGGGTAGCCTGCCTGGGCCCCCGCCCTCCCGGGCACCCGCTTCCATTCCTCCCAGTCTGACTCACTGGCCCAAAGAGTAGGTTCCTGCTCTGGCTCTTCCGACTCCCGAGACTGCCTGTCCAGAGGCTGTCTGTCCATCTGTCCATCCACAGGCACCAGCTGAGAAGGGGGAGGGCACCTGGCTGAGCAGTCAGAGTCCAGGGTCCTGGGGCTCCAGTGAGCCACTCTCTTCCCAGGGGTGCGGTGGTGCAAGAGGCAGGAGGGGCAAGTGTCTGTAGAGACAGTTATGGAGAATCGGAGCCTTGGCAAGCCCCCCGGTGTCCCACCGCCTCCCACTCAGGGTTGAGAGAGAACCAGGGAAGTGGGCCCTTGGGCCAGTCGCTTTGCTGGAGAAGCTGATGGGGGGTAGTGGAGGGTTTCCAAGCACAGCCTTCAAGCCGGGAGCCCAGCCTGTGCCTGGGAGGTCCTGGTCCTCCTGGGACGCTCTGCCTTCTCTTCCTGGGCACCAACCCTAGGGAAGTCCGTACCTGCTGCTCCCTCTGCAGGGCTTTGCCTGTGCCCAAGCTGGTTCCCAGTGACCTTTGTCCAACATTCTTGGCTCACTTTTGGGAATTCCTAGGGAAGCCCCAGAGGGAAACAAAGCAGCTTTGGCTCCTGTTACAGTTGTGGTCAGGGCAGACGGCTCTGGGGGCTGGGAACCCTTCCTCTCTTCACACTGAGTGGCTCAGCTGGGCGCTTGCCCATGTGCCCGTCTCCTGACCCCGCCTGCCCGACATGGCCCAGGCCTCCCTCTGCTCTGGGCCAGCACCTCTGCCTCCTCCTGGCCTTTGTGGTGGGTGGTGGTTTCTGGGCTGCCTCGGCTGTGGGAAGTGCCCTCGTTGTTAATCCTGGGCACCAACCCAGGGATGAGGACCTGGAGTTTTCCTGGTGCCTGGGAGGCCCCGATGCCTGGGGAATAGCAGGGCTGGAAGCAGGGGCACGGACAGGGTGACCTCTGAGCGGACTCCCTTGACTCAGAGTGCCTGCTGTTTTGCTTTGCTTTGCTTCTCCTGTGGTCATTTTCTCTGCCTCAGGAGGGCTCTGAGAGGAATCATGGGCAGGACAGCTAGGTGGAAAGGGACCCAAGAAAGTCCAGTTAGACCTTTCATGAAACCAGTGGGGAAGCTGAGCCCCAGAGAGGACAGTGACCTGCTGGCTGCCCCTGGTGAGTCAGGGGCTGGGTCAAGATAAGAGCCTTGGACCTTTCCAGATGCCCCAGCCCAGAGGCCTTCAGGTGCAGGATGACAGAGGGCTTCCTGGGGTCATTCCAGCTCCTGCTCAGGACCCCTGACTACCTGGAGGTAACATGTGGATCCCCCACCTTTGGAGTCCATCTACTCAGTCCCAAGTCTCCCTCCGTCCTCCTGCCTTCCTTGGACCCCAAGCTTGAGAAGGAGTGATTCAGCTGGTCATCACTAGAGGGCGCAGGGAATGTAACCTTCGGGGCAGGGCAGGGCTGGGCAGGGCCTGTGGGTGGGTCATGTCTGGCCCCTTCTGAGAGTGCTGGGGGGTCCTCAGGGAGCCTCCTTTGGTGACCCTGGGAACCCTTCCTGGGTCACTGTAGCCTGCGTGGGGTGTATATTTGGGGGCCTAGTAAACATTAGGTGACTTGAGGGGACAGCGTCTACTTTGGACACCTAGTTTATGGGCTCTGTACCTTGAAAGGTACAGAAAGGAGCCACAGAGATCACCTCCTTACCATTTCATACATGAGGAAGCTGAGGCGGGGGGCATGACTTGGCCATAGTGTTGCAGTAAACTGGTGTATGATCCGGGGCTAAAACCTAGGTCTCTGGGTCCCCAGCCTGCTTTGTCCCACCATCCCGCTGCCCTGTAGAGCCTAGCTGGCTTTGACTTTGACCAGTCTAGGTCTGCGTGGCCTCTGCCCCATTGCCCCCTCCACATACCCACCTCTGAGCTTGGGTTTCCTGTTCGCTGGGGGCCCTGGCCAGCCCTTGCCCCATCCCCTCCCTGGCAGTCCTCCTCTAGGTCAGGTGTGACCTCCCTATCTTTGCCAGCCCCTACTCCCAGTCTCCCCATTGAGGCCTGGGAGCCACAGAGTATCTTTCTTCCTCCCCCATGAGCATCTTACTATTTTGTAAGGGCCCTTGGTTAGCCAGCATTGGGCTCTGGGGATGAGGCCCCATTCCCACCCCATTAGACTCCGATCAGGAGCTGAACTTGGCATCCTAAGGACACCAGGGAAGGGGTGCTGAAGCAGAGAGCCCCACCTATATCCATATATCCATATAGCCTTCTCTGAAGGGGGGTGGTGGCTGAAGTCTCCCTTGGAAGTTCCTGGGACCCCCGCTGCTGAGCGAGGTGTGAATGACCCATCCAGACCTGGGCTGCCCTTGGCCACTTCCCATCTTTCTACATTTCAGCTGTCCCTTAATAGCAGGAGCAGCCCCAAACAGCACTGGCTTCTCTGCCCCTCACCGGCCTCCTTCCCTCCCTCCATCTGCCCACCGGGAATTTGGGAATGAAAGTGCTATTGTGAACGCCTGGCTGGGCCACTGAAGGGCCAGCTCTGTTATTTCTGCAAACCAGCCCTCCCATTAGCCATGCAGGGCTGAGGCCAGGAAAATGTTACCTTTTCCTCCTCGAGCTGACTGCAGGGGAAATTCTCACATTTACAGTTTGTGCGGTGGTTGTGTTTGGGGGGACGGGAGGGGAGGGCGGGCGCGTGTGTGTGGTTTGCGTGGGGCAGGGCAGTGGAGCAGGGGGAATATGCATCTCCTTCTTCTGTGCTGTCCCTCCCAACTCTGCCTTCCCCAGTGACCTTCCCCTTGGTGTTGGTAGGGGTGGCCCCCTTTGCTCTGGTGGCCCCTCTGGTTGGGGGGGGCTGTGGATAGAGGATGTTGGTAATGAGTGACATGCAGAGGTATCAGTAAATAAACTCATGTTCTCCCCTCTCCTGTCTGCCCTGGGTAGCAGCATGAAACTGTGTGCTGGGGCATTTGGGTAAGGAGGAGGCAGGAGGGGGTTACTGAGGAAGCAGGAGGATGGAAAGCAGAGAAAGTGGAAATAGGGACTCTCCGTTTACTTAAAATGGACCAGGGAGATGCAAGGAATTAAAAGGGCTTCTCTTTGGCATTGTGATCTTTCAGGGTGGAAAATCTTGCCCCTGTCCCCCTGCCTCTAGACTCTGCCACACTGAAGACATTTTGATGGCACATCTATTAATAGATTCCTAGGGTCTCCACCCATTAGGTGTTTCCCGGGGACTGAGAGCAGTTTGGTGATTGGGGCGGGGGCCTCTCGGGAAGTCCTGCTTGTAGTCTAGCGTCAGACTCTCTTGTTCTTCCATTAGAGGATATGAGCCACCTACTGCTTTCCACCTCCTTGTCCAGTCTATGCACCCGTGTTCCACTCCTTCTGGGCACTTCTGCCTGGGAATTTGGGAAGGGGTCCCTGCAGTGGAGGGACCAGCTCCTCGGTAGACCTACAGGCAGCTGGGCTGCATAGTCCCCAGGGCTTTGCCACTGTGTGTAGCTCATGCTTTTCTGAGGGGCAGGAAAGGAGAGGGCAGCTCCGATCTCTCTGTGAGCGACACGGAAGGTCCCAACTTAGAATAGAAGTGCCTGTACACTGTGCTTTACTCCTGTCCTTCCCCTGCCTCTGCTCCAAGGCGCAGGCAGCAGGAGGGGGTTCGGAGCTGGAGCACCATCAGGGGTTTGTGACCGGAGGTGGAAAGTGGAGCCCGGTTGGGGTGAGGACCCGGCGTCTCTGTGGCCGCAGTCCTGGGCGCGTGCTTCAGTGGAGCCCCGTGGGGGCTGCGTGGGCAGGCGCGAGCTCCTCCCAACTCCCCCCTTGCCCTCCAGGTCTTATCCAAGGTCTTCAGTCACGAGGCCCTGCAGAGCTACCTGCCCAAGATCCAGCTGGTGATCCAGGACACGCTTCGTGCCTGGAGCAGCCACCCGGAGGCCATCAACGTGTACCAGGAGACACAGAAGCTCACCTTCCGCATGGCCATCCGGGTGTTGCTGGGCTTCAGCATCCCAGAAGAGGACCTGGGCCATCTCTTCGAAGTCTACCAGCAGTTTGTGGAGAATGTCTTCTCCCTGCCCGTCGACTTGCCCTTCACCGGTTACCGGCGGGTGAGCCCCCAGGGCCTGGGAGGAGAGGAGGTGGGCATCTGTGGGAGAGGGTGGCTGGCCACTCAGTCACTCACCGGTCACACAGACAGAGAGGAGGCGTCAGCAGAAGGGCCATGGGCGGGGGAGGGGAGCCTTCACCTGCTGGTCTCAGCAGCTTAGATGGGAAGATCTCAGAGGAGTCCCTTCCCTGCCCTTCCTGGCCTTGGGAGGGGGCCTCTGGTGACCCTACCCTTTGTCTTTGGTGACCACATCGCCCCCTTCTCCCCACCCCAGGGCATTCAGGCACGGCAGATCCTGCAGAAGGGACTGGAAAAGGCGATCCGGGAGAAGCTTCAGTGCACCCAGGGCAAGGACTACTCGGATGCCCTGGACATCCTCATCGAGAGCAGCAAGGAGCACGGCAAGGAGATGACCATGCAGGAGCTGAAGGTGGGGGCGGCCTCCCCATTGGGTGGCACGAGTGCCCCAGGTTCTGTTTTTGCCCATCCTGCTCCCCTCCCACAGCGGCTGTCTCTGTGTGGCAGTGGTGGCCAACCCCACTGGGGGCTGGGAGGACGCAGCCAGTAAAGAGGCTGTGTCCCGGCCTGCTTCGTGTGGGTGGTCTGATGGGGAGGCTGAGAAACAGCCATGATGGGTGGGGCTTCCCCCCACCACAGCTTCTATGCACCCAGTCCTGGGAGTGAGTGGGTCCCCACAGCGAAGACGCTGAAAATTGGCCTCTAGGAACCTCAGGACAGACTCTGTGTCAGTTGCTTTGTGGACCCCCTCAACCCCTTCCACCGTCAATAGTCACCAGTTCAGCGCATTTCATGGTCCTCAGAAAGGCAGCCTAAGCCCTTGGGGGAAGAGCAGGGAGGTTCTGACCTAACTCTGGTCTCCTCCCCTCCCACCAGCCTCTTTTAGCTGGTAACACTTGACACTCTCTCTCGGCCTGCGGGTCTCTGGTTAAGCCCAGCTGGGCTGCCAGCACCAGGATGACCCACACTAGGCTCCAAGAAGGACTTTCTGCCCACCCTTTTGCGGGTTGGGTGCACCACCTGAGGGGGATTTGTTAACTCATCCTTGTCTAGACTCTGTCGTTCCCGCGGGGGTCTAACCACAGACTTCTCCATTCCCTGTCTGTGCTTACCCTGGTCTGACTCTGGCTTTCCCCCTGCTGAGCAAGGAGGAGCTCCAATGGCCTTCCCATTTCACAAGAAGTATTATGGCTTCTAGGTGGTGCCATGGCAAGTCAGGGACTCAGGTGCCTTCGCTCTCTTCTCTGGGCCTTCATTTGTAAAATACAGGCTTCAGAACGAGATGACCTACTGGGACCTTGCCCTCGGGCTCCCAATTCCCAGAAGTCTTGCTCTCCTGAGAAACCTGGTGGGGTCTGAGTCTTCTGGGGGCCCCCTCCCCTCAGCCTTCTCACTGCTGTCCCAGCAGAGGTCCCCATGGCTATGGTCCCAGGTTGCCCCCCAACCCCATCCACACTGCTGCCCTCCCACCAAATGTCCTAGGGACGGAGAAAGGGGCTGGGACTGCCAGGTAGAAAGCCCAGGGGCAGACCCACCCTCCTTGCCTGCACAGGGCCTGGCTCCCCGGGATTTTTTCTTTTCCTTCTGGGAGCTCACTGCCCTGATGAGGCCTGCTCGGGCAGGCTCTGGAATCCAGCAGTGAGTGAGAAGCAGCCCTATCTATCCCAAGGGACTTCCAAGCTAGTGCTTCTGCCCTGGGCTGTGGCACTATGTTGTCTGCCCAGCAGGGGGACTGGCCCTGTGACCTGTATCCATTGTGGCCTGAAGCCACAGCAATGTGAGGCTCTCGGAGGCAGGGCCCAGCTAGATGACCTTGGGGCGTGACAGGGGGCCCTGTACTGGCAGAGGGCGGCTGAGCCTGGATCCCCACTTGCTGCTGCAGGACGGGACCCTGGAGCTGATCTTCGCAGCCTATGCCACCACGGCCAGCGCCAGCACGTCCCTCATCATGCAGCTGCTGAAGCACCCCGCCGTGCTGGAGAAGCTGCGCGAGGAGCTGCGGGCCCAGGGCATCCTGCACAGCGGCGGCTGCCCTTGCGAGGGCACGCTGCGCCTCGACACTCTCAGCGGGCTCCATTACCTGGACTGCGTCATCAAGGAGGTCATGCGCCTGTTCACACCCATTTCCGGAGGCTACCGGACGGTGCTGCAGACCTTTGAGCTCGATGTGAGGCTGGGCCCTGCAGGGCTGGGCCTCTGGTGGGAACGCTGCCTGGGGAGGGTGGGCGCTGGCCCGTGGGAAAGACCGGCCTTCCTGTCGGGGTGCCACAGTGGGGATGGGGGAGAGCCGGCCCCAGATGCTGGGTCAGATGAAACCGACCAGGCTGTCATATGGGAAGCTGCATGTGGACATCTGTGAACAGGAGGGAGGACTCACAGGCTGCGGCAGGGGAGGGGATGCTGGCCAGGACTGAGGGACCACAGCCGGGGACAGGGGGCTGGGGGGCCAGCGGGTAGGAAGTCCTTGGCCCTCTTAGACCTCCTCTGGCTCTCACCACCTTCTTCTACTCCTGCCCCCCCTTCTTGTCTCCAGGGTTTCCAGATCCCCAAAGGCTGGAGCGTCATGTATAGCATCCGGGACACCCATGACACGGCGCCCGTGTTCAAAGACGTGAACGTGTTCGACCCGGATCGCTTCGGTCAGGCCCGGAGTGAAGATAAGGATGGCCGCTTCCATTACCTCCCGTTCGGCGGTGGAGTCCGCACCTGCCTGGGCAAACACCTGGCCAAGCTGTTCCTGAAGGTGCTGGCGGTGGAGCTGGCCAGCACGAGCCGCTTTGAGCTGGCTACCCGGACCTTTCCCCGCATCACCCTGGTCCCTGTCCTGCACCCTGTGGATGGCCTCAGCGTCAAGTTCTTTGGCCTGGACTCTAACCAGAACAAGATCCTGCCAGAGACAGAGGCCATGCTGAGTGCCACAGTCTAAAGGCGCCTAGCCCGTACCCCCACCTCAGCCCAGCCAGGCCTGGGGCGTGGCGGGGGTGGTGAGAGGCACCAGAAGGGTCGAAACCTGTGTGGGGGAGGGGGCGAGAACCTGGGGAAGGGGGAGAGGCGCCCCCATACCTTGCCCTCCCCTGTCCCCCCCCGCCCCGACCCCGGCAAACCCTACCCAAAGCCAGAAGGGCCCCATCCTTCCAGGGGAAGGGCCCTTCCCCTGGCTCCTATTTCTACCCAGTCCCTCCCAGTTCCCACGGGCTTAGCCCCCCAGGGGAAGTAACAGGGCCGGGCACTCCGCATGCCCGTTACAGTGTTAAATGTCCGTGGCTCTGCTGCAGCATTTGCTTGTGATGTTCCCAACTGGTCCCAGCTCTCCATTTCTTTTGGACCCTTTTAGTCTGAGGGCAGGTGGTTGATGTGGGGGAGGGACGCAAGGAGGGGCCCCCTTTGGCTCTCTCTTCAGCACCACCCCCCTTCCGGCTTTGACCCAGACTGGTGGAATGTCTCTCCTGGTGTGGCTGCTGAAGAACAGCATCCTGGGTAATAGAACACAAGTCACCCTTGCTTGGGGGCGGGGTAGACTGCAAGCAGCCTGGAGGGGCCCCACCCCTTTGCCAGTTTGGACATTTGAAATTACCTATTGCTGCTACTTTTTCTCTCTTCTGACCTTGGGGCAAAGGAGCTCCAGGCCCTGTCCTCCCAGCAGTTAGGTTCCCTGGTGGCCCTGGGCATGCGCACTGATGTCCCCACCTTCCTGCCAGGCAATCTTGAGCCCATCCTGCTCCCCTGTTACACACACACCCAAGGCCTTTGACTCATGGACCGCACCCCTGCCCCCCGCCACCCCCTCCCCCCATATTTATTCACTGACATAACTGAATCTTGGCATTCCTGGGGACTGGAACGAGCCTCTCGTCTGTCCCCTAGCCTCCATCCCAGCTGTCCAGGGCGGGACTTCTGCGAATGATGCTGTCTCCCTGCCCCTAGGCTCCAGACCTTCTGTGGGTTCCAACCTCAGAGCCTCACTCCCTGGGTGAAGTCCAGTGCCTCTGCCTTTCACCCTGGTGGAGATGGGGAAATGGCCCACTGCCTCCCTCCCTGCTCGGTCAAAAGCCCTGAACATATGAGGATTTGGCGACTGCCATAAGCTCCTGCTTGGCCACGGTTCACCCCGGTGCCCCCCACTCCTGCTAGTGAGCATGGGGAAGTATACGGGTTCTTTCTTCTGACAGGGAGCAAGGGCTTCTGTCGTCCCTCCCTTGACCTTCACCCTTGGCCCTTTGCCCTTGGAAAGATGTCCTTGAAGTCGTTCTCACCTCTATGCCACTGTCTGCTTCGCCCAGCTCAGGGGTGTGGGGACAAGATGAGAGCAAAGGGAGGTGAGCATAGGAGGCAGCCCTTTGGACGTGCTGACTCAGGTCCTCTGCTGTGGTCTTGAGGCAGCCGCGCGGGGCGTGCTGCAGAGCCGAGGAGGAGGGAATGTGTGATTTGTCAGAAGTGATTTGGTGGAAAACTGGCTGGTCAGGGGATGACTGGGGGAAAGAGGAGTAGCTCCTGCCACTGGCATTTTGAGTGTTGGCAATTTGGGATGCCTCCCGGGATGATCTGGGGTCTTTGGTGAGTCTATAAGTGATTTTGTCTGTTTTCAGATTTTTCTTTGCTTTCTGTGTTTCTCTTTTGGCTTTTGATGTTATAAAAGCAACGAATCCTCTTTGTAAGAAAATCAAAAACACACAAAGAGTGCAGGAGACCAGTCTCTCCAGTCCTTCTCCATAGCAGTGACCACCGTGGGCAGCTGTGCGGCCCCCTCCATGGTGCTCCGTGGGAGGACTGCAGGCCCCCCCCACCCCCACTCACACATCCTGGTGGTTGGTGTTAGGGGAATGGGCTCGTGCCCGGCAACGGCTCTGTAACCCCTGTTCTCAAGGGTTTCGTTTGGTCCCTACTTTTCCACCACTAAAGAATCCGTGCAGAACATACATCACTGGCAAAAAGACATTTTTTTAAAAAAATCAGCAAAATCCCTCAGTCCACCCCAACACACACACACACACACACACACACACATTTTCTGAAAAAAAACAGGCAAACACGTGTAAAGACTCATCAAAGCTTGCAAAAGAGCTGCACGGTGCCCTGGAATTGGTTACCCAGAAGAAAAGCCCAGTGTCTGGAAGGTTCACGCTCCAAGCTGCCCCCAGCTGAATCAGTCGTTTTTTTTTTTTTTTTTTTTTACTGACTTTCTAAGAAGGCAGTAAGTGCTACTCCAGACAGGAAGCCCACCAGGCCTGGCCCTGGTGAGGGGTTGGGGTGGGGTGGGAGATGGCGGGTTCTGGGAGGCACCTTACGTTGGGGTGACCAGCCTGGGAGGGGCGGAGGGAAAGGCTGAGGGGGTCCCTGTGAGGAGGAAGGAAGGATTATTTGCCCCGCTGGGTCTCAAAGGCAACAAGAAGAGAACTGAAAGACGCTCTTGACTCTTGACTGGCTGGCAGGAGGGTTCCAGTGTTGAAATGTGGCCGTCTCTGTCCACCCGTGCCTGTGTGTCTGTGTGCAGGTCTGTACAGGTAGTGCTAGATGGGTGACATTTCCTCACGTACCATTCCTAACTCTTGTAACTTGACCTTCAAAAGACAAAACCCCACAACACTCTTCCTGCCACGGGCTTGCAGATTGAAGCACTTTCGATGTTGGGCGCTGGTGTTTGTGACCTGGGCACCGTCCTGACCCTGCCCAGGTCACTATAATATTATTTTATACACAAAACTTTTTTTTTCATTAATGTTATAATTTTGTGTCTGTCTTTATAAACTATTATAAGTACTATTTTTGTTATAATTCAAAATAGATATTTAGTATAAAGTTTTTGCTGTTAAATATTTGTTATTTAGTAAAATATGAGTTTTTTTCTCTATTGTAAACATGGCTCAAAATATTAATATGTTTTTATCACAGTTGTTTTAATATTGAAGAAGCACTTGTGTGTTTTGTTTTGATATGAAACTGGTGCCGTGTGAGTGTTTTTGCCGTCATGTGGTTTTAATCTGTATATAATATTCCATGTTGCATATTAAAAAAATGAATGTTGTGCATTTTGTGATTTTGGAAATACTCAACCTGGCTCTTTTATAGGCTTCCATAATAAACCGTGGGGACTCATCCTTGTTTGGCTGTCTGGTCTCTGTCTTCTCCATATCACCATCATCATCTCCCAGCCACCCACACATTCCCTTCCAAGATGCCCACCTGTCAGGCAGGAAATTTTTCCTCACAAGGTTTGTCTGGGAGACACGCCCACCATTCCTTGTGTGTAGGCACAGAGAAGTCCACGGCAATGGCCTGTGAGTAGTAGGTTCCCCTGGGTTGGGGTGGGAGGTGTAACTGTCTGACCACTGGTCCCCGAGGGCCGTTGGGTGTTGGGGCAGCTGGGAACCGGCTCCGCTGGCCGAGTGTGGCCATAACCAGCCAGGCCAGGCAGCGTAGTGCTGGATGAGGCAACCCAGTGCTGAGGGCCTGTCCTCAGAGTCCATCCTGTTTTCTTGAGCAAGGACACTGATGTCCTTGGCGAGGGGACAAATAAGGGAGCAGAGTTCAGTTCTCCTGACTTCTGGCCTCGTGCCCCACGAGGCACTTCTCAAAGCCTATTACATGGGTGTTATAGGAGCAAATGGGTTCCCTGATCAAATAAGTTCAGGGAAAGGGTTAAGTAGAGCTGGGCAGCTTCCTTCACTGCAGGACTTGCCAGGACCTTGAGCCCAAGGATGGGTGTACTCAGGGGCTTCATGGCGTTGACATAGGTCGTGTGGCTCCCCAATCCCATTTGATGACTGAAATCACGTCCTCATTCCTGTTTATCACACTCTGTGAAAAGGTGATCTGCAACCTGATTCACAGAAGCAAGAGGTGAGGCCAGGGAAGGGTAGGACGTCCAGGGTAGGGACAAGGAACATCTGGGGTGGTCTCTAGGACCAAGGCGCCAGGAGTGGGGGGAGAGGGCCTCACAGTGCCCAGGCTGGTCCTGTCCTTGGCAGTGCCCAGTCCCCTCCCCACTGTCTGGGGAGGGACCCACTGCCTCCCAGTTGGCCTGAGAAAGGCTTTTTTGTGTGTGTTGTGTGGCTCTGGGTGTTGTTTATTTGTTTGTTTGGGGTTTTTTGGTTCCCATTAGTTAGTCAGACTCAGCTTCAGTTCAGAGTCCTCAGGCCCAGACCTGGGTGCAGGGCCCCTCCCCACCTGGCCACCTGGGCACAGAGCCTGGCCACCCCCGGAGAGGGTCACCAATATCTCCTGAACCACGCCGCCAAGACAGGGATCCCAGTAAGCCCTGTCCCCCACACTCATCAGTCCGTCAGTCTGTCCTGCTGCTTCCCTCACCTTTCCCTGCAGGGCTGAAGTCTGCCCTCCCCAGTCCTAACCTCCACCTGGGGAGGGAGAGAGCAAGGGAGAGTCTTCTGTTTTCCATGAGCTAAAGCAGAGTTTTCAAGTGGCGGCGACTCTCCCATGGCCACACAGAAGCAGAGGGCAGGGTAGTCCCCGACAGGGAATCACCCGGCCTGTGGCCTCGCAGGGCTCCCTCAGCGAACACCCCCAGCTTCCACTAGGAGCCACACCAGCAGAAGGTCGTGGTTTTTCAAAGTGGCCATTCCACGTCTCCCGGGGGAGGGTCCCGTGTAGCAGCAGAGGTGAAGGAAGCGTGGGCCTCGGGCTGACCTCTGTCTGACCGCCCAGCCACGGGGTGGGAGGGCCCCGCCAGGCGGGTGGCTGGCCTGTCATCGCCCGGTCAGTCTGTGCCTCTCCCCCGTGGGCCCAGCAGGTCACTGAGGTCCCCCACGCAGCCTTCGGCCCCCCTGGGATCTCCTGGCCTGGAAGCTGAAGGCAGGCTGTTGTGGACAGGCCAACATGACCGCTGTTTGTCCAGGGATCGGGGCGCCGGTTTGGAGGGAACTCATAGACCGCACATTCTGCCGCCTCCCAGCACTTTTCCAAAACAGCCTGGTCTTGGCTGGGCCTGGCTGACCGGGGTGGCCGGGGCCCAGGAGCCGGGAACGGGGCGGGGGAGAGCGGGGCCTCGGGGCCCGCAGTGTGAGGTAAGCAG